CCAAGCTACATCCAAGATCCAATCCAAGTCCATCAAATTTATGGGACTGGGTTCCAGGTATCAGTATTTTTTGGCACTTGGTAATTCCAATGTATAGCCAAAGTTGAGGACCTGCACCAATCTGATTTGTGAGTCCTCACTTAAGATTAAAACAAAAAACAAAAAGCTAAACTAACCCCAAAGAATTTAAAGGAGACCAGGTCTAGACCCAGCATCTCTTGACTTTTAGCTTTGCTGTGTTTTTCTCTCTCCACAATCCAGAAGAAACCAATTATTCCTTTAAGGTAGCAGCTGAATCCAAATTATTATATATCTCACATTCACTGAGCTCTCTGTACTTTTTAAATGAGTATTTCATATATTTTCATTTTATATTCTTATAAAGATTCTTAGGTAAGGCTACATTAGATCTGTTTTAGAGATGAATAAATCAGAAGTCAATTAGATTAACTCATGGTGGTTTAGAAGTAGGCCAAAACTAAAAAATCTTTACATTCTAATGTCTGGATTAACTATATTAAATTTGGTAAGTGCTATTGGTGCCTACTATGTGTTAGTTCTGACATGGTCAAACATACAAAAATAAGTAAGACATCACCCATGTACTCAAGTAGTTACAATCTTCATGGAAAGACAAAGGAAACTGACTGGCTTATCCCTTGAATTAGTAGAAACTGAAAACCTTCCTTGATAGGCCCTAATGACCAAGCCCAGTTATTTTCAGTTTGTCCATGTCTTCTTATTCTAGGGAACCTAAGGGATTCTACACCAGAATTGCCTCTCTAGATAAGACCATTTAGCTGAAAATTCCTTTATGGAACAGAGAGAAGATATGAAGGGTGCTATTTCAGTGAGATTCATTTCATATTCTCTAAAGTCATCTACTTAACAGAAGAGTAGATTTTAAAATTAAGGGCGAGATGGATAAGAAAGGGTACTCCCAGAAGTAATTATTTTCTTTACACAGCATTTTAACAGCTGGAAAGTTTACAATCCATGTTGTAGACCATAACCACTGGGGAAAACAGCGTGTAGCAAATGATGCTTGTTTTTGTAACTCAGAGTGGAGGAGGTCACAGCGTAAAAAAGTTCAAAGACAACTTTTCATGAGGAATTCATGAAACATCCCAAAATGTTGTCATTCAGATTTTTTGTCATATTAAAAAATTATGAGTCAGGGACCCACATTTAATCTAGGGACTGAGAATAGTTGTCCAGGATTAGCTTATTATGTTTTCAAATTTTAACATGTATCAGAATCACCTGGATGGGTGGGCCTCACAGGGGTGGGGTGTGTTTCTGATTCAGCAGGTCTGTGATGGTGCCCAAGAATTTACATTTCCTTTATTTAATTTAAGTGATGCTGATGCAGTTGGTTCAGAACCACTGGTTTAGCATAAAGTTTACAATATACTAGATGTATACACACACACACTCCTTTAGAAAATTATAGCAATTTAGTTAATTCTCTATTGACTTTGTAAAAGAGACTCACCCCACCTATTTAATGACTAAAAACAAGACTAAAACAGGAGGAAGTTATGGCTAGTGATCTAAGATGACAATCTAAGAACACAAATGAATGGATTTGTGAAATATATCTGGGTGTTTAGCAGAAGCAACAAATGAGATAGATATAACAAATAGGAAACAACATTTACCATTAAAAGCCTTTACCTGTCTTTAAGTGGACATGAATTTTGTTTTGTATACTCTAGAGAAAACCCTTTGGATCTCTCTTTAAATGTTCCCCAAGTTTCCATTCTCATTCCCTTTTTCTCACCACTTACTTTCCCTGAATTTTCTTAACTCTCCCCATGGACTTAACTTCTTGTATTTATCAATGGTTAGCAAGTCTGTTCAAATTAAGAAATTTTTTTGGGATTTTAATTAATATTGTATACTCTAAATGTATGCATTTTTTTTTTTTTGCTGTGTTTCATGTTTTGTTCATCTAGGTTCTGTGCTCAAGTAATTATCTGATATAGCTACTTATTTGAACACATACACATAGTATATATTCAGTTAATAATTGCTGATTTTGAACTTGGAATACAGCAAGACAAATTCTTTAGAAGTTAATTAGGACTTAAAGGATCATTTATAATCATTGTCCTAATACACTTAGAGAAAATGTCTAGTTTTCAAAGTGCTTTCACATTTAAATGAGCCCACTTGATCCTTTTGAGATAGAGGTGGCAGTAGAATATTAGTAGTCTAATATCAATCTATTGACAGATGCAGGAGACAGCCACTGAGAAGTTAAAGGGCAATGTGCCCTGACTAGTAGAACTGAGCTCAGCATTCATGACTTCTGACTCCCACTCCAATAAAGGTCATCTCCACTACTCATCACTACTCCATGTTCCTTCTTCAGCTTTGCCATTCTGCTTCTACATATGTGAGGATCATTCAAGGACCTAGTCTGAATATTCATAATGAATAGGTGGATCATTAACTTAAGATAATGTACTTAAGATTAAAGCAAAGATTTTGCTTCTTTAAAAGTCCACTATTAAAGGTAATTTTGTTTGACTTCTGATTACATTCTCTGCATAATACACCCACTTTTGATACTATGAAGGGTGTTATTGCCCCTAGAGAGGCTTAGAATGTGTTCTGAAGTGAGGAGTATTTTGAAGACATCATTTCCTGCACAGAGCAGTCAGTAATTTTACAATAAGATGTTCAAAGAGTAAACATAGCTGCTTGTCCATGGCCTGACCCCACCATTTGGGAATTGGCACATTGGATTTCTTCAAGATCAAATTCACCAGGGATTGACCTACACTTTAAAACAATGACAGCCTAAACATATATTCAATCTCTTTAGATTTGTTTCTATTAAGAGTTCAAATAATTGGCTCAGAAAATGACCCAAAGTTGTACATCAGTTGTTTACAAACTGAGTTAATGCAAAAATTCCCGTGTATGGAAGAAAAAGTAATGATCTACAGTAAATTAACAGTTGCTTTTCAGTTCCAACCAGGAGTGACTTCGTGGGAATTTGAGCTACAGGTTAACACACCTTCCATTAAAACAAACAAACAAAAACCAAAACTGTAACTCTGCATATTAAAAATGTGAAATTTGGTTCTAAAAGTTAGCTATTAATTCAAATTTGCAAGCCTGTGGCAAGTCACAGACAGTCAAGGAGTAGGTCCCCTGCCACATAACTGCGAGGAAATGCCACTCTCTAGGTCAAACAAAGTGTAAGGTATATGGCTTCTCAGAGAATCTGGATAGTACTAGGAAAATGGACAAAATCCGCTAGAAAAGAGAATTATTACCCTGGGGGATGGGAGAATGTTTTATGAGGCACCTGGATAAACGTACTTCTTTTGGGAAGGTAATTGAGGAGAGATAACATTGCTAGGTAACTGGACAAATATATCTTCTCCGAAATGTCTGGGAAACCTGTACAATCTTGGGGCAATTATCTTGGGGAGTAAAAGGAAAACAGTGTATCAGTTTGAGAACTGACAGCTACTGGGAAGTATACAGAGCTGTATAAATGTCAGGTAATAAAGGGGAGAAGGCAGTAACTCTCCTTGGGCACCACCTGCTCACCGTCGCTGCGTAGCCATCCACTCCAGCGAACTCCATCTTAACGCCCCTTTCTGCGCAGACTCAGATGCAGGAGAACCAGGTTCCAGCCCAGCTTGTGGCCACGCCCCTCGCCTACCTCCAGCCACGCCCCCTTCCTCAGGCTTATTTTCCCCACTCCCCCCAACAGCCCCCACCGTGCAACCCCAAACTGGTTTAAGAAAGGCCTTGAGGATGGTGGCTTGGCTTCCAAGTAGCCCTTGGCCTCTGGGGAAAAGGGATGAAATGATGAAATACTCAGCCTTTGCCTTTAGTATATCACTAGATTGATGAGTGGTGAGAAAATTTTAACAGTGTAGAGTGCTATGGGAATTGATCCAGAGTTGGTAAGTCCTAAAGGCCACCACATGTCAGGCAGTGGAAAAAGCTAGGGGACACTGCAACAAGGGTGAACAGAGGGGTAGAGGCCCAGAGGGGCAGGAGTGTAGGCTCACAGTGCTTGAGAGGAACTGCAAGAAAATGGTGGAGGGTGCTTTTTCTTACTTGGGGTTTCAGTCTCAAGACTGTGATAACTAACCACTGACAGCTTTAACAAGAGCGAGACTAACCAGTGTTTAGAGAGCAGGGGTAGAACAGAGGTAGATTACCACAGTAATACAGATAAGAGAAACTATTAGCCATAATTTCAGGTGTGGATTGGGAACTAGGAGAGACAGATAAGTTTGAGACCAAAAAAAAAAAAAAGATAGAGGCAATCAGTTTTTTTTGGGGGGAGGAGGGGTGTAGACAAGATGGCAGCTTAAAATGACATGAAGATCTAGTTAGTTCCCTGCCCTTGTCCACTCAGCCCTCCCACAAAGTGGTCAGAGTCTTTATCTTCTTATTACCATGCAAGAATGTGCGCTTTTACCTTGTTTCCTCTCCTTTGGGAGTAGACATTTTACTCCAGCCTTCTTCCTTGAATTTTCCCAAAGTAAAGGCCAATGTGCACTTTACGGCCTATTCCTCTGTCCTTATATGGCCTAGAGACTTAGAGCTCTCTCCTGCAGGCACACTGCCTTATCATAGCCCAGGTTGTGTCTGTCCTAAAAGAAAAGCTTCATGATTCTAGACAAAGGAAAAAGACTGCACAGACAAATTTTCACTGGCACATGTCATCTACTTTTTTGGACCATTTTTAGGAAGCTGATGACCTAGATCCTATGATTCTGTTAATTGGATAGGTGGTCTCAAAATAGGGCCAAGATGTTAGCCCACTGGCTCCTTACTGCTCCAGAGCTGCTTTAGACTCTATCACCCCTTGGCTGAAGAGTATGGGGAAGTGGGGGGAGGGGGGAGGGAAAGGAAGGCACATCAAAGGTCCAAAATTCACCATTATATTGAATAATCATTTATACAGCTTTTAATTAATTATAAGTGTATAATTTTATACACTTTAATTACCAGACTCCAAAGGCTGCTATAAGATAATTTATTAGACTAGTCAAAAATTTTCTGCAATAATGGCACATACAATAATTAACAGCAAAGATGTTTAGTTTCTTGTCTAATGTCACAGCCAATACATTTGTAGACAATGAAGAGGTCCTGGTCCTCAGGAGGTCCAGAAGACGGCTACTGAGGATATTGAAGGATCATGTCACATCTTTGAGCAAGAGCCTAGGAAGTCTATAAGACCCCCTGAAAGGATCTGTCTCTGACCTTCCACGGAATATTGAGGCCCCTCTCCATCCAGCCTGTACAGAGGGTTCAGAGTCCAAGCTCCTTCTGTAGGGCTGAACTTCTATGAGGGGACAGCAGCTGACTTAGATGAAGGGGAGTGAGGTCAAAGGCTAAATTCTTTCTGCAAGGGAGCAGACAGTCAGAAGGCAATGGCCATAAGTGAAGAGGTCTCTTTCTATATTCATTTCCACATTTTTTGGCTTTGTTCATAGCCTACTCAAAAAGAAAATAAAGGCCTCTTTAGTAGGCCTTCTACTACTCCTCAGATGAATACACATAAAAACAGCCTCTAATGTCCTGAAGCATCACTCCCCTTCCTGCAGGAGTGAGGTAGGGGGACTCCTGGTCTGGTGGTCCCTGGTGCTTGGATTCTAAAGAATATTCTGCTCATGGCTGTGAAGCACCATGTGAACCTGGTTATAATCACAACAGATATAATCTGGGGGAAGAGATTCGCACAGCTCATTTCTAGAAGGTATCTTGTTCAGTTTCAAAGCCTTGTTCTCACTGAAGTCATGCAAACCAGTGGATTCTACTCAAGGGAGAGTGTGACTTTGAATTTGTATGTACCTGCCCTGGCCATATTCCTAACTGTAGGGCTAAGAGAATCCCATAGACTAATTGAATTCTTAGCTAGCCAGATATAAATTCCAGACCCTCTAAACTTGTTCTTCTAATGATTGGTATGTATGGGTCTAACTGCATAAGGTGTGGTACAGAGAAGTGCAGAGATAGTGTATGGGGTTGAAGGGTGTCTACCAAGAATGGCTGACATGCTCAAGAATTTCTGCCCCTCCCTCTTCATAGAAAAATCTCCCTATGTTATAATCCCCTAGCTCCTAGCACCATGTACCTGCTGGTCAGGGATTCATGACCCTTCTGTGGAAAGTCAAACTCTCATCACCATAAATTTCCTTAATGTTGACCTCTTGACTGTGTACCCTCAGCTGACTACCCTGTAATTTCTATTAGCCCTGATTTGTGGAATTGGCGCTATGTTGTTGGCACAGGAGTCAGTGTGCTCAGCTCCCCTCCTCTGTGGAACGAGACTCTGATTTTAACTTCACAAACTCTCGGGCCACTTCATCGTTGCTCCTCTGAGACAAAATCCGGAGGACGGTCATGCCTGTCTCATCCATGTGGATCTTTCGGCCCAAGGGGCACCAGCAGGCACAGCTGCCCTTGGCAGCCACATCCCTGAGAGGCATCACAGCCAACCCCAACACATGATCCTCTCGGGCAAAGCAGTAATCCTTCACACATATTTGTAGCTCATAGGCCTCTGGTCCCTCTTCATTTCCCAGAAGGCTGTGAGCAAAGGGTGGAAAGTAAGAGGCCAAAGCTGAAGAAGTCTTCTCTGAATTCATCCCAACTGCCCTTCTGCCCATTCCTCCACCCCCTTTCAAAAGTATCCCTCAAACCTCTCCCACCCCATTGTCTTACATGTACCCCACCCCATAACTTACAAGTGAAATGTCTCATTGTACTTGGGGGCCCAGTTGTTGCTTTTTGACTTGGTTGTGAATTTCCTCTTCTTATCACTTTGGTGTGGGCCAACCATGGTCACTTCCACAAAGGGCCTGAACATACCCGCTGTCTGCCACTTGAGGTCGTTGGCAGCCACCACTGCCCAAAAAGGGAAATCTGTGAGGGATCCCACCAGGTGTCCCCAGTTCTTAAGCCCAGGTGGCAATCCAGTTGGGGGAGGCTGGGATAAGCAGCCCCAGGTAACTAGGTAAGAAAGTCTGAGACTATTAAGTCCCTGCTGCTCACCTTTCACTGTGACCTTATGCTCTCCAGTACCAGGATGTGTAAACAAGTCCACTTGAATAGAGACTTCTCCCACAGGATCATCCACACCAGACCCTGAGAACAGATGGACAGATGATCCCCTATCAGACTCTAGGATTTTAGCCCAAATTATTCCAGGTAAAACTGAGGAGTTAGGAAGCACAACCCTACACCCTAAGGCAAGAAGCAGTCAGCCACAAGGAAGTAAGCAATGGGAGAAGGGAAAAGAAAAGAAGGGATAAAGAATGAGGCTGTGTATTGAAATACGAGTTAAGTTGGTAACATTTTAGGCAAAAATTTCCAAAAGCCACAAGGAATCTCTTAGCTTCACCAAACCTCTCCTTTCTCCTAGGCTAAAGAATTTTTCATTGAAGGATGTTGGAGAAAGATAGTGTTGCCACCTTGTCTCTTATCTGAGAACTGTGTCTACTCCGTAACATCTCAGTGAAACAATAAGGGTTCCTTCTAGCCAAAAGCAGCACCCTCCCACCTAGTCCCAGATTCCTGCAGGCCTCTGCTCAAACCCAGACCTTTTCCCAGTCCCAATTTACAGAAAGAACCAATGGGAAATATCTTCTCAGAAGAGGCCCCATTCTATTCTGAGAAAGCACCAGATAAAACTCCTTTGTTCTAAGGTGTAGAGGTGGGAGAATTTGAGGGCTGCTGCTAACCCCATTCTGAGCTATATGAATATATCACCCAATTGCAATTTGGGATGGGGCTTCTGAACTTTGACACTGGCTCTCCCACTCTCAGCATAAGTAATTTATTCTAGTTCACAGTATTAATTCATGCTAGAATCACATCTGCATAGTGCATAACATACCCTTTTCCGGTCGAATGTCCTCATTAGCAGTAAACCTAATACCTTTCCCATCATGTACTGAATGAGGACAGGCAAGTCAAGAAGTAGTAGCAGCAGTAGGACAGAGAAAGAAGAATGAGTTAGAGGTTTAAGGACTTCACAGCCTTTTAGAGTAGCTCTATATGCTATCTTTTTTATTATAAAGATTTATTTACTTATGCATACAGGCCAGAAATGTGGGAGGATTCACCAGAAACAGAGTGGGGAGCAGAAAAGGCAGATCAACTGAAATACACTGCTGAGGGGAGAAGTGGGCAGGTCAGGAGAGGTCTGCACCATGTGGGTCACCTCCCTGTGGCTGGGGATTGAACTCTTACTGCAGTGGCTGCAGCTAACTTCATAGTGCTGTGCTTTAACCCTTCGCGCCACCACGGGGGTGAGGGAGCACAGAGAAGGGGTAGGGTGAAGAAAGAAGCCAAAGAGCAAGGGCAGTGTCTGAATGCTCCAAATCAGACTTCATGACTCAAAGTTCAAACAAATTATGGGCAGAAGTAGTAAAACACAGAGAAAAGTATCTGAGACTAGTGGGGTAGGGAGAGAGAAAGGTCATAGTCTCTTAATTTTCTAGGCCCTTAATTAATAAAGCAATGGGTAGAAAATGTACATGCATTCACTTAAATGCTCTCTATAGCCCTCACCTTTTACCCTGGACTTGAAATAAAAACATGGAAAACTGTACTGGACTGTAGCTTCCTTCCATCTTTCTACCTTCTATCAACTCCAATCTAACTGCTTATATCCTCCTTCCCTTCCAGGTCAGCTCTTTGCTCCAGCTCCACAACTCAGTGGGGCCTTGATTTCCTATTCCTCCACCATGTTCACTCACCCAGGCAGCATGCCCAATTTTCCTGGAAAGAGCAATAACAAATGTGCCATGAAGGTCCTTTTTGGGAGGACCCTGCTTCAGGGTAAGGACCATAATTTCCATTTGAACCATGTTTATGCAGATTCACTTTACTATGGAGAGGCTTAAGTGGAGGCAGGAAGAGGTTCTAAGGATCAGAAGTCATTGGGAGAAAACTAACTGCCTGGGTTAACTGTGAATTAGCCTCATCCATGCAGTGGATATCTCAGCTATGCAGAGATACTTCTGTTCTGTGCCCTCCCTTCAAATGTTCCCATGGTCTGCCTCTCTTAAGTCTTTGTCCACACTGGAGATTTTAGAAGGTTTTTTGCTTTCTCTCCCCAGGACAACTTCTAACTAAGGCTCTCAAAGCTGAGCCTTCATGAGTATCCCAATCACTTATTTTCATGGCTTCCTTTGCACATTTTTCCTAACAAACAGGGAACATTCTATGAGCTTAATAAACATATACTGTCCTGCAGCTGTTTGGGAAAAGAAAATTCAGGCACATTTCCCTGTTAATCTACTGTCTGGTTGTGGGTGCAGATAAGTACTGAGGTACCTCAAGAAATCTTGGGTTCTGAGTTTGACAGAGTCTTTGAAAAAAACAACTGAATATTCCCTAAGAAGTAGAAGATAATGACTTTCCTAAAGGACAGAGAAGTACTAGGGAAAGGAGGTGGTGACCCAGAGCCCTTGGGACTTACCCTGAGCAGTCTGTGAACGCACGAAGGTCTTGATGAGTGTGTCTGTAGTCTGTGTGTACAGAGACAGGGCATAACGTAGAGACTGCATATCTGGGCTCTTCTCCAGGAAGGTTTTCTTCAGCCCATTGCCTCCTGCATGAAAGTATTGCTGAAAGACAAAAGAACACCTGCTACTGCCTCCTATCCTTACAGAGAAGCAGTGCTCCAGCACTGTCTTAGAGAAACCTCATGTGAGCAGTGGCTCTGTGAAGATTATGGTGACGTCAATGCCTCAATAAACACCATGATCAAGAATACCACACAGAGCTAGAGTCAGTCTCTCACGTGAAGAGTATTATTTGTGTGTCTGGCAGGAGTAGTAGAAGAATGGTGTTTGAAGGATGGATCTACCTGGATGGACAAAGGTATGGGATAGAAGCATTTCAGGCCAGAAATGCTCTTTTAATCCTCTGACATCTCCCAAGTGCCTTGAATCATAGTTTATAAGTACTATCTTACCATATTATAAGCATCTTGAGGCTAGAAACCACATTCGATTGTCTTTTTATCCTTCATAGTACACAGTGCCCAGTGCATATGCCTAGCAGAATGAATGAATGAATGAACAGCAGATGAAAGACCCTTGGAAGCCCAAGTGACTTTGTACGTAAGTGGAAGAGGGAAACATGAGACAACTCTGGAGTATTAGAATCTGAGTATTTCCTGAAAAATACTCAGAATAGCAAGGAGGAACTAAGTGAGCTGAACTGTCCTCAGAACATAGGAATAAGTGCACTAGGTCCATGGGAGCCACCTGCGAGCATTCAGGAGGGGACAGTTTGGCTGCTCCAAGTAGGAATATGAACATAGCAGAAAAAGAAATGTACATAAAAACCACTCTCTTTTGGATGTCGGATGGAAAGAGCACAAGGGATTCTCAGTCTGACAGAGTGGAGTGCCAGGGCCAAGCGGATGTGGCAGTAAGCCTGAAAGGGGGTAGGGCTCCACCTTGATGGTGTCCAGGGCGAGGTCAAGGACGGCACACTGCTTTGGAGTTAGACTCCGTGTTTCCTCTCTCACCATGTGGTCCTGGAACCCCAAAGAAAGCAACAGAATCAGGACAGTGATGGGTCTTCCCCACACCTACCATCTCTCATCAATGTATTCCTCTTTCTCCCCTCCTTTTCAGTCTCCAAAGTTGAAATTTCCTTCCTCCCAGGTACCCCTACTAGCCTTAGGAGGACCCCACGCATCCAGAGTACCTTGAGTTTGGAAAGATGGCTCAGCTCCTTGGCAGCAGTGAAGATAAGCTGAGTGCCCTGAGCAGAGAGGGGATCAGTCAAAAGCAGAGGACCCAAACTTGATCAGAAAGCATGGAGGAAGCTATAGGTGACAGTAGGGGGAAGTGAAAGGGCAGTGTCCTTACCGTCTGGTCAGTGAGCGGGGGCAGAACAATCATCCTCTCCATTGTGTTCATTACCACCCTCCAGAGCTCCTTCAGTACACGCTTCAGGACTGTCTTTTCACATATGGTAGCAAAGAGTGTGAGGCTGTAAACCAGGCAACAGGTAAGGCTGGGGGGAGAGTTTAGGAGAAACTCCCTCCCTGAGAGGCTCGCCCATGTGACTGCCTCAGCCTTGCCCCACAGGGAAGACCTGAGAGCTGTACTCACTTGCCATCCAGGAAGTCCATGAGAGGCCGGAGCACACTATCTGCGTCCTGAGCCACTGAGGCCCTGGTATTGGGGGATGCATTTCCTGTGCCCCGCACCTGGCCTAGGATGTCGGCCATTTGTCGAACACACTCATCAATGCACACCTGGAAACTACACATAAGCCCATAGTGCAGCGCTCCCCTCCCCAAACACACTGTTCCCAGAGCAGCACCAGCTACTGGGTCCTATTCCAGTGTGCTCGTGGTGCAGCTCCAGCAGGGAGACAACAGGAGGAGCAGGGAGATACACACACACCCACTGGATGGGTGGGTGATAGAAGAGAAGCTTCGGCATTGAACAGGAACTATACCTGCCCCTGAGAATCTTATATGGGGGCCACTGACCTGTTTCCAAACACCATGCTGAGCTCATCCAAAACTGCATTCAGTTTCACCTGCAGCTCCTTCAGGCTGTCTGCAGCTTCGGGGTCCAACTGTAGCCATAGGAAGTTGGCTTGGCTAAGCTGGTTCTCTTACCCTTCCCTCCCCACCCCCACTCCTCCCTCCTATGATTTTAACACCAATGCCTTCTCAAATCTCTCAGTTTAAGCCAGCTGACCCCAGGATAAATTCCTGTCCCATACAAAGACAGGAGAGGATGGAGCTCTGTAGCCAGGGAGCTCAGGAACAAAGAGAAAGTGTATCCATCCTGCACCCTAAAACTTACTTCCTTGCCTCCCATGGCCTCGAACATTTTCTCCAGCTGGACTCTCAGTTGCTGCATGTTGTTCATCAGGATGCAGGGCTTTGGGACAGACAGAGCCACTGAGTCTGGCTCCTTTCAGCAAAGGACCTATTAGCCCAGGGTCCCTCCCTCTCACACTACTCCAAAAGCTTCAGGGAACTTGTAACACATACTGTATCCACCTCTCCCTCCACATTGAGATCTGGAACCAATTCAGACAATTCTCCTTGAGTGATAACTAGAAGCATTGAGGAGGTGGGTCCCAAGTGTTCATGGCAATAGGTTATATAACTCTTTGAATTAAAAACTCAAAGTTCTTATTAAAAAAAAAACCACAGGCCCTCCCTGGTGGCGCAGCGGGTTAAAGCACAGCACTAAGAAGCTAAAGCCACTTCCACATGAGTTCGATTCCCGCCTGCCCCGGAGGTGACCACATGGCGCGGCAGACCTCTCCTGACCCGCCCGCTGCTCCCCTCAGCAGTGTACTTCGTCGATCTGCCTGTTCTGCTCCCCACTCTGTCTCTGGTGAAGCCTCTCACCCTCCGCATCGCTGGCCTGTACCCCAGTTCTGTACAAATAAATAAATAAAACTTTTAAAAAAAAAAAAAACCACAAAGCCTAATCAAAGGTCTAGCTCTTTAGAAGATAAAATACCACATGGAGGCTTGAAGTAGCTTCTAGCCAAGTTATTATTTTGTGGTATAATCTCAAGCAAAGCCTGTGGGGAGCCAGAAGTCAGGAGCATCATTTCCAGCCTCAGCTCTAAAGACAGATTCAAAAAGCAAGATTCATATGCCTTCCTTTTTCTAAGACTTCCAGGTCCCGACCCTTACCACTTTTTCCTTGGTGCAATAAGCTGGGAAATCCTTTGATAAGATGTCTGCATACTGTATCAGCACCTTCCCAATGGTCTAAGAAGAGAGAAGAAAAGCAAGGGAGAGAGAACTCTTAGCTCTTTTCACAGGGATCTAGCCTGAAGTCACCTCTCATTCTAGGACAACAATAATAAGGAAGTAAAGGTAAAGGAACCCCACAATAAGCCTTTCGCAACCCCTGGGTAGCATGAGACAAACCTATCTGTCTGCCCCAGACACCAACAAAGGAGTATGGGCTTCACCTAAAGGCCTCTGGGGGTGAGGGGTGGGGAGGGGATAGCTCAGGTCTGTAACTAGGCTGTGAGTGTGGTGGTGGTTAAGGGGAAGGAGTAGGAAGGCTCACGGTCACCTTGGTAAATCTCCTCATGTAGTGGGCAAGGATGTTGGGGTCTGGGCATTCCAGCTTCCGGATGATCTCAAAACTCTGGTTGAGCTGTGTGAAGACGTCCACCACAGAGCAGGAGAAGAGTGCATGCTCTGATGTCTGCTGGAACTAAGAAAGGCCATACACAGGGTGATCATCTTCAGCCACTAACTTTTTCCAAGTTTGCAGGGTTCAAAAAGGCTCTGCTCAACAGCGTGGCTCAATGATCTTTAAAAAGACCTGTTGACAGACTTCACAAAGCTAAGACAGTCATCCTGGCTAAAGCACAGGAGCTTCTGCTATCAATTAAATGCTGGGAGACTTGGGCTGACCCTGGGAAGCCCAGGATCCCAACTTACCCCATCCTTCTTATCTCGTTCCAGGGCTCCTCGCAGGAATTCCAGGGACACATCCTCATTCTCATCCAACCATTGCAGGACAAACTGTTCAAACCACCTGCAATCAGGCAGAAGAACTGGAATTGGAGCTAGTGGTTGGCTTATGCCAATGTGGCTCGTTCCCCAAGATTGGGGTCTTCTGGATGGGTTAATATTCTCTTTTCATAGACGTGCTCAGAAGACAGTCTCAAAGCTGACATGCTGTGGGTCAATGAGGAGATTGCTCCCATCTACCCCAAGTCAGAGTACCCTCTGCCCCTCCCACTGTTTATGAGGTACTCACGCTGGGTACTCAGGCACCTGTGCCTGGAGGGCAGGCAGATCCCGCACATATTCATTGTGGAGCCACTTCACCTTGAAGTGCAGGTTCATGTAGTCAGCACTCTTACAAAGACGATCTTTCTCATGCTCTAGTGGTAGGAAGGGAGGCTGGGTCAGGGCCCTACAGTAGACGTCATGGGTTGCTGAGCTCTCCCAACATGGCAGGCCTAGTCAGCGGCTCTACCGGAGGTTTTAGAACAATGGTGACTCCCAACCACCTGCTTGTAGCCCTCCCTCTGCCAGTGTTCTCCTCTCTAAGACTCTGTCCCAAATCTTCCTTCTGAGACTAATTTATAATTCTTATATTTTTTAAAAGATTTCATTTATTTATGCATACAGAAATGGGGTACAGCCAGAGGTGCAGGGGTGGCAAGAGGATTCACCAGAAACAGAACAGGGAGCAGAACAGGCAGATCGATAAGGTACACTGTTGAGGGGAGCAGCAGGCAAGACAGGAGAGGTCTGCTGCACCATGTTGATCACCTTCAGGGCGGGGATTGAACTCACACTGAAGTGGCCACAGCTGGGCTTAGCTTTGCAGTGCAATGCTCCAACCTGCTGCACCACCAGGGAGGGCCCACTAATTTATAATTCTAGATAAGATCTGCAGTCTTCTTGCTTTAGCTTTAGTAAGTGCTAAGCAGCCTCTCGAGAAGAAGAGGAGAAAGGGATGATGGTAGATGAAGCTAATTACTGGGGACACTGCCCAGAACTGGAGAAGGACGCTGGTTTTCCAGGGCTTCCTCATCCTCTAAAAGTACCTGGGTCACTCCCTCAGAAGGAGCTAAAGATAAGCAAAGACGAGCAGTTGTTCGGGGCACAATGGGTCAATGGCAACTACACAGAGACAAGGAAAACCAAAGTGGGTCCACGCTGACAGGGAGTTGAGCAGCCACAGTATAACAGAATGTTGAGGTACATTGAAGGGCCCCAGACGGCACTAACACACAGAGAAAAATGAACTCTCAAAGGAATATGCAAATAAGAATAATTAACTTGGAAACCATGGAAACACAGCCAGATAAAAGGGTTGTTACACTGCAGAGAATATGGGGTGTTTACTATGCACATGAAAGATCAATCTAGCTGAATCTCCAGAGTCTTCTGAAAGATCTAGGACAAAGATCATTTACAGCTTGTTCAACATGACTGGAGCACCGATCATACCTCTAGGTTCTTCACTCATCCCCTTTATAGATGAAGCATTAATTTGAATAAAAAAAGCCAACTGTGTGCTTATTGGCAAGTACTAAGCAACAGAGAAGAGGAATGCCAGAGTACTTGGGCACTATACTGATTAACTTCCAGTTGCTGTGGGTGATGATCTTCCATGTCAAGGCAGAACATTGAGACTAGGGTAGCTAACATTTTTTATTATTGCAGCAGACACTCAAGGAGGAAAACAGAGTCCAGAATTCAGCCCCAAGTGGCTTCTGGTCCCAGGGACTCCCTTTTCTGGCACTGGAAGCAGCGCCATCTCAATCTCAAGTTGTATTTACAGTCTCTTCTATGAATCAGCGAGCAAGAGAAGAGGGAAAAGGTGTAATACTTTCGAGGTGTAGCGGTAAAGGGGCAACAACCAAAAGCACTTGCCCCCCAGAAAAAGGACTTTTTGTATACAAATGACAGTGGAAACTTGTGACAGAGCAGATACCAATGAACATGATAATGTTTATACAGGGTTTTTATTTAACATCCCACTTTGTCTGGGTTTAACTTTAGTCTCCATCTATTGTCATCTTAACATCTCCAGTTAAGCTGAACAGAAAACACAACTGAATGGTTCAGTGTTGAGTATCATCCATAAGTCCTCCTCCTTCTCTTTATCACATTAAGTTTAATCGCCAGCCTGTTGATTTCACCTCCAAAATTCCTCCAGAATCTATCCACTTATACCCAATATTACCTGCCGAGGTCTTGTGACCATCATCTCTAACCTAGATTACTAAACAAGTCTCCATGTTGATCCTCCCTTCTCCAACTCATTCTTTATATTGTAGTCAGAGTGAGTGACTTTTCTACATTATAAATGTGATCATGTTAATCCTTTCACTGACTGCCAAATGTCTAAATATGGCTTACAATCTACTTTATGATCTGTCTCTGCCCTCCTACCCTATCATCATCTTTCACTTACATCTTTCCTTATTCTCTAAAGTGCTGGTCACACTCCACTACTGCTTGTACTTCCCAAGCACGCCAGCTCTCTCTAGACCACAGGTCTGTGAACATACTGTATCCTGTGCTTGAAATGTTCTGCATCTCCCTTTCCTACCCCTCCCCACTGGCTAAGTCCTATCATCCTTCAGGTTTCATTTGTACATTACCTCCTCAGATCCTGAGGTTGGGATACATGAGTCTCCTTTGTGTTCTCAACGCCCCATGCTTATTCCTTTTGTGGCACTTGTAAATTTGAATTGTAATTACAGATTTAGATGTCTCTTTTCTAACTTATCTGTGAGCTTCTCTAGGGCAGGGGGCTATGCCTTATTAATCTCATCAGAGTTTAAAAACTAGCAAAGCACAATTAAAATATTCAATAAATAGTACCCAGGGCAGAACTTACTGCAAATGGGTATGAAGATCTTTTCTGTTCTTAATTGGTAGTTAACAGTATTACAATATTTTAATTGTTATAAAGGTGTGCTTATTTGTCAAATGGGCTTGTTATACTCATGGACTTGTTATACTCTTAAAGTGTTTTAATTAATTACATGTAAATTATAACTCAATAAAGTTGACTTTACAAATACTAGATAAATGATTATTTTCGGAGTCAACACTATACTTTTATTATCCAGGTTTCCTCCCCTTTTTTTGCCCTCCACATTCTTTTTTTTTTTTTGAGATTTATTTATGCATATAGAATTGGGGTACAGGCCACAGATGCAGGGGTGGTGAGAGGATTCACCAGAGGCAGACTGGGGAGCAGAACAGGCAGATTACGAAGTACACTGCTGAGGGGAGCAAGTGGCTCTGGCTAGCTTCGCAGTGCTGTGCTTTAACCTGTTGTGCCATGGCGGGGCCGGCCCTCCACATTCTGACAATCATTAAGTCCTATAGCAACTTCCTCGCAGTGTTTGTCAAAGACCACTATTCCCTCTGTTCCTCTCCCTAATCCCAGTTCCCTCTCTATATTCCTGAATTATTACATTATCTGACTCCCTTACTTCAGTCTTTCCCAGTTCCAGCTGTTCCCATTTTCCACTGTAAACAATCTTATTTAAAACTACTTTGTTCACATTATATCTCTCCATTCATGAGCCTGTAACGGTTTCTTATTGTTCCTGATAACTAAGATTTATTCAGTGCTGAGTAAATGCACAGCAGTACACTAAGTATATTACATGTACAATAGTTACTTCATCAACTTAATGAAACTCCCATGTTATAGATGAAAAAATGGGAGCTACAGAAATGAAGTAGTTTGGTTCAAGGTCATGCTACAGAGTGAAATTGAGATTTAAAAACCAGGCCAACTTTAGTTTGGCCTAAAGATTTCTCTTTAGGCATCTTTCAATTCTTTTGTATTTGTTTAGTAGAATTATCCTTTCAAAAGAAATCTTACCTAAAACTCCATATAGGATTGCTAAAAGCAGAGCTGATTTAACTGGCACTAGACAAAAGAATTGGAGCCTAGCTACCTGCTCTCCCTTTCACTTAGCTCCTGAGGTACCTGTACTTGAAAACCTCCATGCACTCTCACTCACAATATCTCTCTGGTAGAGTTGATTCACTTTCCAAAAGTATTGATCTTTTTGTCTCCCAGACTCACAGGAGCTGAGTTCTTGGAGAACTGAGACCAAATGCCCATTAGGCTTGCCATGTGTTGGCTCAGAGAGGATAGGTAACTCCTCAATGGTGTAGCAAGCAAAGGTATGGACAACAGGCTCAGGTTTGACCTGGAGTGACCAGGAGGCAGTCAGTGCTCTGGACAGAATACTGTGTGTGTGTGTGTGTGTGTGCCTCAAGGTTTCTTTTAATCTCAAAACTAAGTGCTCCCAAACCTCAAGTTTAAAAGTGTGAGAGTAACCCATTCCCCTTGCCACTTAACCCAAATAATGGTTCCAGAATCTTTTTCCTTGCCGCAGACTGTGGCCCCTCTTTCCAGATCTACTTTCATAGACTGAGGAGAAAAATTAACATATATAAACAAACAGAAAAAACAGCTAAATACATGAGCAGGGTTGGGTACAAATGGGAAGGTCTGCAAGTGATACCTTCGTGACCAAAGTAGGAAATTAATAAAAAAATAGTTGAATGCACAAGATGAGTAATATTGTTTATGATCTTGCTCTGCAGTAAAAGTGAGGGAAGAAGTATCTTTCTGGATTTGTCATACTAATCCAGACAGTTTTCAAGGAAATCCAGGCCAGGTAGTTCCCAGTGAAAAAAATAATTTTATCTGTGTACATAAGGTTTTATGGTTCTTCAAAACTTTAAGGATAAGTTTCCTAAATTCTTTGGTGTGCCACTTGGGAACACGGGTGGAGTTGATTTCTGAGATGGGAAAGTCTTGAACAGGAACTTACTTTAAAGCTGGAAAGAGGAACCCACATCCACACAGCCATTTTCATTATTCTTTTAGCTGAAGTTTTGCCACCCAACACCTGCTGAGGCTTATCACCAATTATGCCTAGGTTTCCTCAAATTTCTCACTATATCTTTCACCCAGAACTTTCTGGGAATAGAAAGGGATAACAAGATGCTTGGGCTAGGGGTATCAATCCACTGCCCTGGGTTCAACCTTACCTTCCAGGGCATATTTCATGTCTTGGGCAAAGAGCTGCCACATCACTTCTGCGCTGACTTTTCCCACATTCAACTCCTGAGGAAACCTGGATGATGGAAGAGGTCATGGTCAGAGAACAAGAGAAGAACCATTTATCTGACTGATTCCAAAGCTAAAGTACATAATTTTGGGAGGTCAGATTAAAGAATGGAGTAATCTAGAAAACAGATTAGGGTCAAGCTGAAGAAAGGGGGCCCAGAGGTCAGTGGGGGGAGAGAATCACCTCAGGCAAGGTGGATACAGGGGAGAGGGTGCCCAGAAGGCACTGAGTTGAAACCCAGAGGAAAGGGTGGGTGCTGGAAGGCCAGTCCACACCAATAGGCTGGAGGATAAAGGGCAAGGAGGTGGGCATGGAAAGAACCACTTTATCACAGTGGACAGACCTATACACATGGTCCCTGGGTTCCCTGGGACTCCTATGGCAGCCCTTCCCAGAGGCTTCTTACTCCAGGGAGACTGGCTTATTCTGGGCAGGAACCCCCATTATGTTTCCACACCTGTCTCCAGAAACAGTTACCCAGACAGATACAAGGGACAGAGGGACATACGGACGGACAGGAGGAAGAGGTGCCACTGTAAACACATAGACAGAGGAAAGAAAAAGGCTGTTAGACAGATGAACAAATCAAGCACCAATAAGACAGGGCCTAGTGGGGTGATACTCACTGGTTCAGAATGAGTGTGTAGCAATTCTTATCTTCCTCTATGATTGACACAATGAGTGTGATAAGTTTGGGCCAGAAATCTAGATTCTGAATGCTAGGCCCTTGTTCCTCTGGAGGTAGCTCCTGCTTCTTGTTTCACGGGAGAGAGTGACAGACAGTGAGAGTCAGAATAGAGTGTGAACAATATCTCCAAGCTTCTATTTTCCCTTTCTTCCCCATTCCTCCTTCTTTAGAACCAGGGACCCTTCTTTGCTTAGAGCTTGTCTTCCACAAGACTGCACCTGTTATATCCGAAGGCTATTACTTGGAGGTCCTTGAACACTTTGCTTTTCTCAGACCTGCTCCAGAACAAATATTCAGTATTTATTTGCTGTACTTACAGAATCTATTCTGCAAATTGTGGACAGAAAGATACTCCTAAGACATAAACTATAAGAGTAATAAGGCGATGAAGTCCTGGCTTTGATATTAGAAAAACAAATTATTGGAAAGATCTAGAAACATGGACAGAGTCACCAACTACTGAGTTAGGATGCCAACCTAAAACAGGCAAAGTATCACAGAAGGTTGGGGTCAGTCTTGATAGTCAGCTGATGAGTAAATCTCATAGACCATGCAGTGCAGAGAGGAGTAGTAAGAAAGAAAAGCTAAACTCCCTTTACCCCTTAACACAGAGAGACAGATACAGCTATCAAAGAAGGGCAGCCTAGAACACAGGGAGATCTACATGACTCAGGGAAAAAAAGACACTGGGATAGACTGAGGATTAACCTACTCGTCCCCTGAAACTGTGTTCATGTTTGGGTCACCCTCGTTAGCACCAAAGTAAAATTTACTTCAGCCCAACTTAGTTATGTCGTATCTTGTCCTTGATCTCTGTTCATCCACAAATGTCTCACATGGTCTAGATAGACCATAGTTACCCATTCACTCTTGAGAACACAATGACTTTGCCTGAGCTCCTTTCTACCATAACCACATCAAAGGAAGCTGACACTCCAAGATCCACTGAGAGCTGGCCCAATTGATCCTGAACCACTTACCAGCTGATACTGGTGGTTGTACAAGTCGTGGCAGTTGTTGAAAATATATTCATATGTAGAGTTCAAACAGGCTTTCACACAATCCTTTACAACTTGGCTGGCTCTTGGAGGGCTCTGCAGTTCTTGCACCTGCCAATTTATAAAAGAAATATGGGCCCTGGGTCTTGCTCTAGGAAGAACTGCCCAGGAGATTCATGGTCCACATGCTTCCTCAAGGACTAGGCTTAGAAGTGATGAGTCCAATGATTCTTATTCTCCCTTTTGCCAGCCCACCATCACCCAGTCCAGCTCATCTCTTACCTTCATTCTGAAGAAAGTAATGCTGGTCAGCAAATCCACCGTGGACTTCAAGTCCTGGAGCCGCTCAGGGCTTCCCGCAGGAAAATTATTCTGTTGCAAACCAAGTAAATGTAAGAAAGGAACAGAGGACTGTGAAAGCCTTCTCTGCCAAAAGCAATGAAATAAAGCCTCCCTATCTGCTACCTGGTAGAATACTCCTGAGTTGAGTTAAACAAACAAACAAAAAAGCTGTAGTATTACTGGTCTCTCTCTTTTTCACTGACACAGATAGGTTCTTGTTTAAAGGGAGGGTTAATAATTCACAGCCCAGGACCTACTTGGTGCCTAGGGGTTAAGTCTTAGCACTATGAAGTTATCCCAGCTGCTGCAGCAAGAGTCTGATCCTGAGCCAGGGAGGTGACCACACAATGTGGCAGACTCTCCTGTCTCACCCACCGCTCCCTTCAGCAGTGTTAATTTTAGCAGATTCACCTGTTCTGTTCCCCACTGTCTCTGGTCTGTACCCCCATTCTACTGTGCATAAAGAAATCTTTCTTAAAAGATAATTTACAGCCCAGAAAACAACATCCCCAACCCTACTTCCCAAGCAAAGTGTGAGCAATTGCACAAATGTTCACA